AGATCATGTCTTCTGTAAGGGTTTTCTAACTGAAGAACCAGGACCTGGTTCTCCACGGTTTCCCGAGGATAACCTGGACTAAGTGTGTCTACCTGGTTTGTTCTTCCCTTGTGTTTGCTATGTCAAAGAGTCTGAGAGTCAGGACCCTGCAAGGATGGCACCAGCAGTAAATTGGGGGCCCTCGGGGTGATGGGTGTGTAGGCGAAGGATGAGGCTGCTGAAGAGGGCAGTGGACTCTCTTCCTGACCCTGACATTCTTTAAGAGAACACAGCCACATTGTTGAGACCAGGGGTATGCACGTGAATCCAAAACTATCCTATTAAGGGACAAGCAATGGGACAGAAATGACAAACCAGAGTTTAAAGGAGAGATGAGCCTGGTGTGAGGTAGCCTAGAGGATTTATGGAGGAGACGGGCTTTGCAGGATGGATTTGGACTGCATTTGTGCCTGTGGGTCTGTGAGATGGGTTCTGTGTGCAAACGTGTCTTTGTGTCTGCATGTGTGTTTGTGCCTGTGTCTGCTCGGGCATGTCTGACACAGGGTGTTCATGAGTCCATGTGAGTTTGTCTTCCTTGACATGTTTGTCCTTACTCTGAACTAGTTTCTGAGTGGCACGGTTGACTTATGTCTTTTTCTGTATGTACCTATGTGGTGAGATGTCTGTGTCCATGTGTCTTTGACTGTGTGTTTGTGATTCTTCCCTGGCCCCTTACTGTATCTTCCACCTCCCTTGACATACTCCAGCTGCTAGCACTATTTACCGCAAGGAGGGCTTCCCTTCCCGCCGTCTGAATTCCCATGGGTCAGTCTGCCTGCCCAGGGACCTGCCCCTGTGGCCTCTGTAGTAGGCCTGACCTTGGAAGTGACACATTCTGGAAATCCCCTAATATGCTACTTGCCTAGCCACTAGCTGAGTGTTTATAGTGGAGGAGAGGGACAAGGCAGGAAAGGGGGGCAGTTGGCAGCACCCGCCCCTCCTTCTGGAAACCGATCTCACTGGCCCCTTCCCAGGCCCCCCTCTCCCTCCCCATGCTTTCCCAGGGTCCTGGCCTCACTGTCTCCAGGCATGAGAATGCACAGACCTCTGTAAGACTGGTCAGCCCTGTGAGGCATCTGGTCTTTGTGTCCCCAAGCACTTTACATGCCTGCATTGTGCTTACCTCTCATATTCCCACCTGAGCTCAAGGAAGTCCTTTCTTCTCTTCTGTCCCTGCAGTGGACACAGGGGCTATTCTGGCTCTTCCATCTGTGGCAGGCCTGGCCTAGACCATGGGCTCCAGAGGCCAGACAGAGCATTCAGCCCTGGTTGGCTGGTTAAGCAGCAGAGGCCCAGTCATTTCCCACATGGTGCAGGAAGCAGTGTCTCTGTGGAGTCTATTCCTGTGTTCACCCTGTGTTCCTTGCCCTCCCTGCCTGGGCTGCAGTGAGCAGGTACAGAAGTGAAGCAGCCACGGTCCCTTCCCTCAACAACTCAGCGTTGAACAAAAGTGATGTGGTGGAGAAGCCACCCTCCTCCTGGTGGTAGGTTTCCTGAAATTCTCTCTAGCCAATTCTGAAGTGCCCTTCTGGAAAGCCCAAGAGAAGAGCTCTAGAAGGTCGAGGCCATTCACCATTCACCAAAGACCTCAAGCAAGCACTGATGTATTCCTAGCATGTACCCCCAAATCTGAAGTAGTAATTTTTTTTTCTTTTTTGAGACAGAGTCTGCCTCCATGACCCAGGCTGGAGTGCAGTGGCATGATCTTGATCTCGGGGCACTGCAACCTCTGCCTCCTGGGTTCAAGTGATTTTCCTCCTTCAGCCTCCTGGGTAGCTGGGATTACAGGCGCACACTACCATGCCCAACTAATTTTTGTATTTTTAATAGAGATGGGGGTTTCACCACATTGGCCAGGTTGGTCTTGAACTTCTGACCTCGAGTGATCCACCCGCCTCGGCCTCCCAAAGTGCTGGGATTATAGGTGCGAGCCACTGCACCTGGCCTGAAGTAATAAATTCTTGAGTTTGTACTCTACATGTGAATTTTGCTTCTTGCCTCTCTTCACCCTGGGGAAGATAGAAGGTGGGGTTGTGCTGGGGTTATGGGATGGGATGAGCAAAGCTTCATCTGTCATCAGCATCCTGCATGAATCATAGGCTCTGACCCTGACTTTGCTTAGCTCTCGACTTTGCTGAGAACTCAGAATCCTGAAGGTATCAGTTCCAGCTCATCTTTGCCCCCAGTTCTATGTCATGGGACTTCAGTTAGCAGCATGAGCCCATGCTGGCCTCAGGCAGGTGGGAGCCTGTAGGGAACCATGGGAGGGACCTGCTCCACCCTAAACCAGGATGTGTGCATGCTAACCCCTGGCTTCCTACCTGATGCTGCTGTGACCCTCCTGAGTCCATTCCCTTCATTCTGGGCCTCCCTCTATTCTAGCTGTGTGGCTGCCTGCGCTTCTCCCACCAGGGAGGGAGGATGTGCCTGTCACAAGACCTCCTTTGATCTGTGGGGATGCTTTAGAAAAACACCTTTTGAATGTTGGTTCAGCAGGCTTGGACCTTGTGCTTCTCTGCCCTGGGGACCATGTATGGGCTAGGCCCCCATCCCTTAGGCACAGAATCAGCATTCAGAGCAGGGACACATCCATGCTTCTTTCTATCCTGGCTTTTCTGTATCCAAGCAGTGGACACATTGTGCTAAATGCTGGGGTCCTGTCAGAGGAAACAAGTCCTGCCATCACCTCCTCCTAGTGATGAGATGGTGAGTGATCCTGGGTTTGCTTAGGAACCAGGGGCATCCCACTGTCCCTCAAAACATGTCATAAAGAAGTCACAGAACTTCCTGCCCTTTTCCCAGCTCTTGGCTCCTCTGTGGTAGGTCAGAAGGGGAATGCAGAGGTGCCAGCTCCTGAGGGATAATAGCTATCCAAAATCTATGTCCCTTCCATCTTCTCAGGGCAGCTTCTTTGTCTTCCTGCTTCCCTGTCCTCTCCTCCCACCCATATAACCTCCCTGGTTCCTCACCTCACTGAGCACTAGGATGCCACCCCTGCCCTGTTTCTCCATCTCCAGCCTCATGCTCTTGCACAGGCTCCATGCATTTAGAGCTTTCTCTGTGATCTCTCCTGCTGGTGCAGTCTTCCAAGAGCACCTGCTGCACAGATATCAGCAGCAGCTTTGACCACTTTTTCACCCACCTATGTACTCACAACCAACTGCTTGGGAACTTGGGACCTAACAGAAACTTTCCATGGTAACTTCCAGAATCTTTCTCCACCTCCAGCTTTCCAGCTTTGGTTCTCCATATGGTTCCCCCTTCCCACAGACATGGTCCCTTCCCAGCTCCTCACTCATCCCTCTGGGTCTTTGCCCACACTCCCTTATATGTGGAGGAATCCTTTCTTCTAATCCATGAAGTCCTCCCTCATTAACTCCACCTTCTCTCTACCACCAGTGAAGTTCTGTATTTTTAGCCAAAGTCAGCCTGTCAACTTGGGGACTTGGGGACTGAAGCCAGGACCCTCCCTGAGGAACATCCCATTCCTTCACTTCTGCACCACAACATTGTTCCAGCAGTTCTCCCCTTGAGCTCCTGTATCGTTAATTTATCCATCTCAACTGGATGTTTTCCATTAACATCCACCATGCTACGTCTCCAGTCTTTTTGGAAAAGCCATTTTGGGTTCTAATGCCTCATATTTCTGTATCTTTATTTGAACAGACCTCCTTGAGGAGTTTATATTACCCCTTCTGACACTAATTGCTGTCTTTCCATTTTCTCCCTCCTCCTCTCTCTCTCTCTCTCTTTTTGAGATGGAGTTTTGGTCTTGTCGCCCAGGCTGGAATGCAGTGGCACAATCTGGGTTCACTGCAACCTCCGCCTCCTGGGTTCAAGTGATTCTCCTGCCTCAGCCTCCTGAGTAGCTGGGATTACAGGTGCACACCACTATGCCCAGATAATTTTTGTATTTTTAGTAGAGACAGAGTTTCACCATGTTGGCCAGGCTGATCTCGAACTCCTGACCTCAGGTGATCCACCTACCTCAGCCTCCCAAAGTGCCGGGATTACAGGTGTGAGCCACCGCGCCCAGCCATCCACTCTCTCTTGAATCCACTCCAGTCACACCTTCATCTCCATCATTCACCTGAGGCTGCTCCTCTTAAGGTCATGAATGATCTCTGTGTGGCTAAATCTAACACTCCTCATCTTAGTTGGCTGACTGGCAACTTTTCATGCAGTTGATCTCTCCTTGAAAAACTTTCTTGTTTGGCTTCTAGTATTACACACTCATCTTGTTTTCCTTCCATCTGACTGGCTACTGCTTGTCAGTTTCCTCTGTTTACTAGTCCCTCCTTTACTTTCCAGTTTCTTAACATAGAAGAGTCTCAGGGCCCACTCGTTAGATGTCTCCATTTACACTTAGTTGTTTGGTGTGTTATCCAGTTGCATGGTTTTCTCTATCTCTCTCTCTGTGTATTATCTGAAGCCAGGACCTTCCCTGAGGACCATCAGGCTTCTGTGTTGAGGATAAACTGTTGGTCGAATGGACTCAGGATGAAATGGGGAGATTAGTTATGATGCTACTGGAGTGATGGTAGCAGTAGAGAGGGTGAGAAGTGGGCATTTTCTCGATGCATGCTTGAAGGTAGAGATATAGGATTTACTGTGGGTTAGCAAAACAATCAAGGATAACACCATTGTTTTTGTCCTAAATAACTGGAAAGATGGAGCTACCATTCACTGAGGTGAGAAATATTGTGAATTGAGTGGGTTTGGTATGCATGATTGAGTGGTGGTGAAGGGCAGAAAACCAGTTTGTTTATTTTTGTATCGTTTGAGATGAATATTGGACTTTCAAGTTTATAATTTGACTGGACAATTTGGGAGTAATAGACTGTCGACCCCATGGGATCATGAGCTCCACTGGGTCAAGGCCTGTGTCATGTTCGTGGTTGTGTTTTGCATAGTTCTTGGCATGTAATAAGCACTCAAATATTTAATTGTTGAAAACAAGATGCTTCTCAAAGTAATTTTTATTGTGGATTCCTCCTCACCAGCTGATTACTTCCTCCTGTGGCACTACCACACACCTCATAGCCCCATTACAATGATCAATGCTTTGTCTGTCTCCACAACCCTGACTTTGGATTCAACTAATATAAGGTCTTACTATGCATTCAGTACTCTCCTAGGCCCTGGAATTATGGGACAGTGGAAAATATTCTGGTGGGATGGATGGTAAATGTTCAGAAATCAAGCATGACCTTTAGCTTCAGTGCACTCTAGATAAGGGCTTTTCTTCTTTGATGTGGAATGGTGACCCATCTGAAACGTAAGCTAAAGCTCCTTCCCTAGACAGGAAGGACTTTTTAGCCTCCCTCACACCTTCCCTTAATACAATACAGCGGAGACAAGAACCGGACAGACAACGTATTGCTGAGAAATATAGAGTGTATTTCTGGTGGCACCCTGCCCCACCTGCACATTTATGGAAACGATGATACTGGTCCTCTGGAGGGCTGCAGCAGCTGGGGAGCCTATAAACTCTTTTTCATGGCTCTGCGTGTTCTCCTTGAGCAGACCAATGTTTCTATCTCAAATGAGGGTCAGGAGCTAGGGTGGGTACCCTGGTTTGGTGGCACAAGCCTCTCGAGGACAGTGACGAGGGCAGTGGCGGGGGTGGCCCGGGGCTGAGGCAGAGCCAGCTTGTCTGGAGTGTAGCCAGAGCTTATTGTCTAGAGACTGGGGACCATCCAAGAAGGCTGGGCCCACCAGCTTCTCAGAAGGACAAGATTGGGCCTTGGAGTACCCTGTTGGCTTCTCTGTCTTACTTCTCCCCACAGGGCTCTTGGCTGGAGCCAGGCTCTTTGCAACATTTTCTTTTCTGGTTTTGGCCACTTTTGCAGCTGAGAACATGGAGTCCTCATGCCCTTTGCCTTTTGTCTTGGGGTTAATACGCTGCAGAAAAGATTTAATTTTATTTCTCAAGCTAGACTCTGGAAGGCTGGGCTTCTTTTGTGCATGGGCTGGCATCACCTGCTCATGTAAAACCTGGCCTTGCAAAGTTTGGCCCTGCAAGGGCTTACCCTGAGTTGGTTGGCTCAGGAAAGTCTGACTCTGTGAAGCCTGGGGCACCACAGTCTGGGCATTCTCAGGAATTGCCGCTGATTCAAGGATGACATTTAGCTTGGTTTGACTGTCTTGCAGGTCATTCTCAGACTCTTTCCCCCCAGGGAATCGTGGAGGCAGCTGTGGGAGCTTAAGCTGAGAGTGATGCTGGGAGCTGTGTTGACAGGGATCAGCGAGATGAAAGCTACGACTCCATCGCCAGAAGCCTCGGGGTGTCTGGTTTGGAAGCATCCCTGCTGGCCTCTGGTCTTCAGCAGGGCATCTTTCTTCTCTGGTTGAGGAGTGCCCAAACCCCTCATCCCCTTCTCCATGGTCCCTGGCTGCTTTGGTTTCCTCTGAGTCCTCTCTCTTTCCCGCTAGCATGGGCACATGAGCTGGGTCCTTGCTCTTGCCAGGGCTTTGAGGCTCAGGGCCCCAGGGTTCCTCCGTGCTGGGCTTGTTCACACTGGCCTCCACCCGAACACAAAGCATGTGGGCCTCTGTCATGTCCCCACTGGGTTGTGAGATCTTGGAGACCCAGTGGGCAGAACCATGGGGTACTGCTTTGGAACTAGATTGCTTTTGGTTCTGCTGCACTGCCTTCAAGTCATTGGCCAGCTGTTCTTTAAGGTGAACCCATTCTGGATTAGGGGCAGGAAGAGTGTCTGGTGGGATGGGCAGTTCTTGGAGCAATGTCTCCCCTTGGTGGTTTAGATTTTCGAGAGACTTCTGTGTGGATATGTTCTCTGGTGCTGCAGCAGTTTGTTCCCTGGACTCCCTTGCCTTAATGGGAATTCCCCATTGTATCTCTAGGACCTTTTTTCTCAGGTGGAAGTTTAGTTTGGTCAAGATATGTGTCTGGAGTGAATGGGGGCTAGCAGGTTGTGTCTGGCTTTCTAGAGGCAGCGTCTCCATTGTTCCTTTTACCGGCACTACAGACTGGAATTCTTTTGCAACGTCTGTACAAGTCTCATTGTTGCCTTGAGGGCACGGCCCAAGGCTTATACACTGTTCTTCAAATGAAACCATCTGAGTCAGAGGCTCTGCTGGGATTTCCACAGGCGCAGGCACCATCTCTGTGATGACAGATTGGCTCGTGACTGCCGGGGCCAGGGCCCTGGAGAGCGCCACATAATACAGAGCAGGGAGCCCCGACAGGAAGGCCAGATACTTGTGCCGTAAAGTTGTCTCCAGTTTCTCGATGGCTTCCACGGACAAGACTCGGAGCAGCTTAGGGTGTTGAGTGACAGTACCTGGTAAGACCTGTTGCTGCTGATCAAGGGCCGTTGGCATCCAGGGCATAACTTTGTGATGTAGGTCTGGGTCACTTGCTGCCTGCAGTTCCAGGAGCTGGCTTTCGGGAATGCAGGGTAAAGGAGCCACTGCCAGGACCCCAGGAATTCTGCAGTCCCTGGACCTATGTACACAGGCAGGGATCTTGCCCTGGTGGATCTGTCCACATTTGGAGTCCATGTGGTTCTGCAATATTGCCTTGGCCTGGGTTAACAAGTGTGGCATGGGGATGGACACTGGGGCCACAGTGGGTGACAGCACATCACAAGCCCCGTTGGCCTCTAGGGCTACAGGCTGGGGGATGCTCACATTGGCTAGGGCTGTGCTGCTGTAGGACACAGTCTGTTGGTTAGTGGAGGTAAGGAGCAAATGGATGGACTGCTGGATCTTCTGAGGCAGGCCCCAGCGATGGTGAATCAACTGTTTCTGGATGTGGAATTCCAGCAGCTTCCGGGCATGCTCCGGGAAGAAGAGTAGCTCCCTGGTGAGCACTGAGATGGACTTCCCTGGCTGGGAAGTTGTCATGGTCTCAGGAGACTGAGCTTTGCCACAGGGCTCATGCTGCATGAGGCACTGGGTGTGCTGAGACCTCTGGAGGGCAGCTGGCCAGCCCCACTGAAGCTGGAGTTGCCTCTGTAGCAGGTGCCACTCCAAGGCTTCATACTCGGCCAGAGTCAGAAATGGGACATTGATCTGAGCTTGTTGATGGTCAGATGGAGACACCCAATTTGGGGAAAGTAGGGAAGAGCATGGGGCTGACTGGGGTGAAGTTTTAGGAAGCAGTTGAGGGAAGGAGAGCTTGTTGAAGAGAAAAGGATCCTTCAAAGGGGGCTTGGGCACATTTCCATTCTTGGGGAGGCCTTGAGATCCCATGAAAGTGGCAACCAGGGACTCACTGTGCAGAGAAGGGAGCCCACAGAATAGCTGGCTGTATTTCTGCTGGAGAGCACTCCCTGAGTCATTATCTTGTCCCCCAGACAGTAAATGGGGGCCACGTAGAGCTTTAAAGGCTGGAGAGGGCAAGGCTAGAGCCATAGGGTTTGGGCTTTGCTGACAGTGGTGTCTTTGTTCTGGGTTCATAGTGGACCATTCAGAAACCCAGAAGGTCTGGATGGGCTGGCCAGCCACACATGAACACCAGGTCTGGAGGGAAATGGTCTGAAATCTATGAAGAGAGACCTGAGAAATATTATTCAGGTTGAAAGAAACTGGCTGGTCATTTCCAGATTGGTAATACAATGGTGGATTTGGCATAAGCTGCCTCAGGGACTCCTCCACACGTCTGGGGAGCCCCCACCTCTGGAAATGCATCCATTTTTTAACATGTACCTCAAGAAGCCTCAGCACTTCAGGACTGAGAAATGGCAGGTGGGCAGGGAGGACCATATGCAAGGCCATCGGATGCGTCAGGTTCAGGGTTTCTGGGTTCAGGGACAGCAAGGAGACCTGGGAATTCAAGTGATGCTGGCCTTGGTTTCCCTGGACAAGGCTGGGGTTGCTTTGCATCATCTCCTGGTTCAGTGGAGCCCTTGGCTCCTCAAATCTTAAAGAAGCCATCGTGTTTGGGCCTCGGAGCACATCTGGCACTTGAAATTCCTGCCCTAGCTGGAGGTGATCAGCCCAGTAATCTTGTATGCCATCTGCATACGTTGACTGGGCAGCTGACTGGGTTAAAGATTTTTGATCCGTTAATTGTGACAGTATTGGGGTTACAGATGCCAGTGAAAGCTCTCTGGTGTCCCAGGAACGAAACTCCAGACACTCATCTAAAGACATACTAGACATAGACAGCATCTCTAGGCAAGAGGAGACCTGCAATGGCCCTGATAAAGTCAGGGAGATCTGGTTGTTCTCACCCGCCAGCAATTGCTGAATCTCCAGAGCCACAGAATTGCAGATTTGGCAGCAGGGATCTGCACACAGGATTCGCCGCACACTTCCCTCCGGAGGAAGCCAGCCCTGGCTGGGAAGGGAAACAGCAAAATTAACAATGGAGTGACATCTGCCTTCTTGGAAGAGTGTGGGCTGGAGTTGGCACTCTCCTTTCCCAGTCCTGAAAATCCTGGGGCCTATACCATCTTCTTGTCTACCTCTCTACTTTCCTTTCTAAGAAAATGCCATTTGGCAAGCTGTGGTGGGCTGGGCTGATGGTCTGGAGCTTGTTGGGCAAGCCTTCAGACAACCCATGGGAGGGCATGGCCCTCAGAGAGGGCTTGGAGCTGGAGTCAGTTCTCTGTTGACCTTGTTGAAAAGCTGAACTAGGAGAATGGAGCCAGGCGGTTAGCTGATGGGGCATCACCAGGAACATCACCAGTTAGAACCCAGACCAGTCTCATTTGAGGCTAAGAAATCCAAAGCCTGTATTCAGTACTTCCAAGCTGTGGGAAATGAGGTCCTTGTGGGACTTCTGCATTCTGGGGTATTTGGTACCCCTAATGTTATACCCAGCATCTCTCAGGAACCAGTCCTGTTCTCTGGAGCTCTTAAGGAGAGGATAAAATAATAGACTCCTGTCTAAGAAGTGTCCCAAGTACTGGCCTCACTAAAGACAGAACCAGAGGAGGTCATGTCAGCAGAGTCTAGCCAGTGTCAGGTATTTTCCCTTGAAAGGGTACAGCTTTATTCCCTTGAAAGAGTATAAAGAGAATAAGACAAGGATGACTTCCTTTTTCAGAACCCATTCTCTTAGCTGGGTAACTTATCTCATGGCTGAGTGCACCTCATGTAATATGTTTTATGAATTATGCACTAGTAAAATCCTGAATTGTAGAACTGCTGTTACCCTAGCACAGAGCTGAACTGGGCAGCTCATCCCTCCTGAGACGTGATCCACACTCTTCCCTGGCAACCCTCTCAACCAGTGTCCCTGCTTCCACTGTGTATGTCTCCCTCCCAGCCATTATCCTTCTCCTTAGTCCTGCCCCAGGCCAAATCAAGAAATCATCACAGGCCAGGCTGGTTGTTGATAGAGTGCAAAGAGCAATAGATCACCTTTTAATGATGGAGAGCAGCTTCTGTGGCTTCTCAGCTTCTTCCTGGGAACGTCTCCTAACTGAGGAACGAGGAGACAGTGTTACATGGCATGGGATAATTTCATAGGCATCCTATAGGAAGCTGAATAGTAAGGCCTTTGACTCTCACCAAGAAAAGACTACAATCCTGAAAAGTCAGTACTCTAAGGCATGTCTGAGTACAGCATCACTATAACACAATGTCCCATATCTAATTTCATTTGATTTTTACAACCACAATGTGAATGAGGCAGGATTGTCAGTGTTTTGCTCATTTTGTGGATAAGAATGAGAGATGAAATGACTTCCACAGGGTCATAAAACTAGTAAGTTATACAATTAAGAATATCTGCTCTACTTTCTTAATTCTTCGTTTCCAGGGCATTGAGGTACAGGATTTTGGAACATTCTCGAGTTATGATTTCCCACCCATGGAAGTTTCAGTCTGGGGAACTGGAGCCTTCAGTGGCAGAGCACCTGGCTCTTGGCTCCAGGGATCATAAAGGGACAGGATTGATGGGAAACACCCACAGTGGAAGGGAGTCAGAGGAGAGATTGGAACTTTACCTGTTGATGCTGCACCTCTAGCTCTTTGCCTGACTTTTTGGTGACACTTAAAAGACAAAAACATTAGAATGTGAAGCTGGGACACCATTTTCTTTCTCATGTCCAAAATGAGACAAAACTTACATACATTTTCCACTCCCTTTCAATATATCTATCTATTTTATATACTCTCCTGGATTTCCTTTGCCTATTCCACCTTTTTACCCCATTTTCCTTCTCTGCTTATTTCTGATTCACTTGGAGGCTTTTCCAAATTCTCTATCTCCCATCTGATTCCCAGAGAAGTACTGCTGGATGCTGACGATGACACAGGAGGAAAAGCAAAATAGAAGAAAGGGTAAATGGTTCTAACAATAAAAGAACTTCTGCTTATGAAGCCTGCCAACCAGAAAAATTCCCCGTATTCAGAGATCTTCCGAGATCCAGCAAAATAGACTCCATATTATCTAGTTCTCAACCCAAGCCAAATAGAGAGGTTCTTGGCTTTTCAATCAGAGTATGTTGCGGGAAGGGCCTGGTAAGGAATTATAGTCTCTGAGAAGAAAAGTATTACACAAAGGTAACTGAAAGTATGCTATAAAAATTGTGGGGTGGGGATTGTAAGGGGGGATGCTAAGAACTTATAAGCTTCTTATCTGATGCTTAATTCAGTTGGGATCATAGCCCTACCCGGCAGCAGCTCCTTTTAGGTTCCGAACTCAATTCATGGTGGCTCCTTTTCACTTGCCAGATGATTAGAATAATGATGAAGATGGAGCCATAGGTGTATAAGGGATATCCAACATCCCACAGAACAAAAGTAGGACTCAACATGGTCTAAACCTCATTAGCATGAGATCAGCCATCCCTATATCTGGGCATTCAGAGTTCTGGTGCCTAATGACTCCCAGTGCTAGGCCTTGTCATGTCCACCTCACAGAGGATGGAACTAGGACTGCATCACAAAGCCCTCCCGTTTCATAAGGCACATGTAGTAGGGAAGCTCATGTGGTGATTCAGTCTGTAGATGAGGGTGTTTTGAGCCTGGCACCGAAGGTGCCACAAGCAGTGTCTATTTCCTAGTCCGTCTTCACTCTCCACTCCCTATACCAGCCTGATGGCTCAGCTCTCTCCTTCACAACTGTATGGTCACCTATCCTCAGAGAACTGAGTGCTTTGGCACAGGGGGTACCTTATGAGAAGGGGTGGTTAGGCCAGAGGAACCTCCACTAACTCTCCCACTTGTTTTGGAAATATACCTGAGAAAACACATGAATTTAGGAAGGGTGGAGTCTGGTTATGGCTTGGAAATGAAGGTCTTTGATGTTTCAGGCAATGGGTGATTAGTAACAGAGGAGCAGGAAGGGGACCATGGCTGATGTGGTAGGGTAGTAGGGAGAGGCCAAAGTGGTCGTATGTATCTGGTCTGTGTGGTCTGAAGCTTGCAGATGGGTTGGGAGAGATTGTAAATGCTATCTTCCATGGAGGCACGTTCATGCTGAGGGAGATGAACGCTGGCAGAGATGGGTTAGCGGCCACTTCTGACTGTGGGTCACAAGTGACTAGTTGCTGTTCATGGTTGGATGTATGCCGTTTGCCTGAGGAGGTCTTTTTCGTTGTTGTTTATTTTTCTCAAATCTGGATTTCATAAATTTTTAGGCAGGGCATGTGTTTTCCAATTCCGCTTCAGGGCCCATTACTTTCATAGCCAGACTATTGATTTACCTGCTTAGCTTTTGTAGATATTGTGATATGCCTCCAATACCTCAGTATTCCCAGTATTCCTGAATTTCCTTGAGCAAGTCTTGCTCTGGTAATGGTGGTCTCAGGCCAAGAAACCTTTGGGCTCAAAATCTCTGAAGAGGCTATTTGGTCCTTCCTCAGTATTCAGCCCACCCAGCAGATGTGGTAAGCACCCAATATGTGCTTAGCCCTAAGCTGGGGAGTGTTGAGAATACAAAGACATTTGAGCTTGGCTTTCTGCTCTCAAGATACTTAAAAATGTAGTTCAAAGACAAGACTAATTCATACAAAGCAAGAGCCAACAATCAGTACAAGTAGACTTTTATACTCATTTATAAGGCTCTGGCCACAAACATTCCATTTCAGAAAAGAGAAATCATAGTGAGGATCATGGCCATCAGAGAGGGCTCCTGGGTAGTTGAAGTTAAGTTTAACATTGCAGGCTGTGGGTAAAAAGACTCTTCCTGGTGGGAGAAAAACTTACCGGCTCATGCTGAAACTAGGGAATGGGCCATAGAGTTCATCTGGCAATAAGAAATGCAGTGTATCTCTAGCAGAACGCAGAAGGGTGGACTGGAGAGCAATTGTGGGAAAGATTGGAGGATCAGGGATAGAGGCCTCTTGATGGAGGGAGGGCCTTTGTATCTATTTTATTTCAATCCCTAAGACTTTTTTTTTTAAAGTAAGCATACTTATACATGGCACAAAATTTAAAAGGCAGAAGAGGTGTACAGCTGTCTCTTTCTCATCCTTATCTCCTCCTATTTTTCTTCATCATGTGTCTCTCTTTTAAAAAATGTTTTTATTTTATGGGTACATAGTAAGTGTATATATTTATGGGGTACATGAGATATTTTGATACAGGCATACAATGCATAATAATCACATCAGAGTAAATGGGGTAGCCCTCACCTCAAGCATTTAACGTTTCTTGTGTTACAAACATTCCAATTACACTTATAGTTATTTGAAAATGTATAATAATTATTGTTGACTGTAACCACCCTGTTGTGCTATCAAATACTAGGTCCTATTTATTCTATCTAACTTTTTTTGTATACATTAACCATTTGTATACATTTTTGTATACATTAACCATTTGCCCTTCTCCCACCCAAACCCCCAAACCCCACCCCACTACCTTTCCCAGCCTCTGGTAACCATCATTCTATTCTCTATCTCCATGAGTTCAATTGTTTTAATTTTTAGCTCCCACAAATGAATGAGAACATGCAAAATTATTTTGCCATGCCTGGCTTATTTCACTTAACATAATGTTCTTCAGTTCCATCCATGTTGTTGCAAATGACAGGATCTCAGTCTTTTTTTTATGGCTGAATAGCACTGCATTGTGTATGTGTACCACATTTTCTTTATCCATTCATCTGTTGATGGACATTGAGTTTGCTTCCAAATCTTGGCTATTGTGTAAACATAGGAGTGCAGATATCTCTTCAACATACTGATTTCCTTTCTTTTGGTTATATGCCTAGCAGTGTATTGCTGGATCATATAGTAGTTGTATTTTTAGTTTTGTTTTTCTTTTTTTAAGACAGGTTTTTGCTTTGTTACCCAGGCTGGAGTGCAGTGGTGTGATCATGGCTCACTGGAGACTCAGCCTCCTGAACTCAAGCAATCCTCCTGCCTCAGCCTCCCAGGTAGCTGGGACCACAGAAATGCACCACCATAGTCAGCTAATTTTTGGATTTTTTTTTTTTTTTTTGTAGAGATGAGGTCTCACTTTATTGCCTGGGTTGGTCTTGAACTCTTAGGCTCAGGTGATCCTCCCACCTCAGCTTCCTAAAGTGTTGGGATTACAGGCATGAGCCTATTTTTAGTTTTTTTTTTTTGGGGGGAACCTCCATACTGTTCTCCATAGTAGCTGTACTAATTTACATTCCCACCAACAGTGTACAAGGGTTCTCTTTTTTTCCACATCCTTGCCAGCATTCATTATTGCCTGTCTTTTGGATAAAAATCATTTTAACTAGGGTGAGATGATATCTCAGTGTAGTTTTGATTTGCATTTCTCTGATGATCACTGACGTTGAGCACCTTTTCATAGACCTGTTTGCAATTTGCATGTCTTCTTTTGAGAAATATCTTTTCAGATCTTTTGCCCATTTTTCAATAGGATTATTAGATTTTTTTTCCTAATGAGTTGTTTGAGCTCCTTATGTGTTCTAGTTATTAATTCCTTGTCCAGATGAATAGTTTGTAAGTATATTTTCTCCCATTCTGGGGTTGTCTCTTCACTTTGTTGATTTCCTTTGCTGTGCAGAAGGTTTTTAACTTGACATGATCCCATTTGTCCATTTTTGCTGCTTTGGCTGTCTGTGCTTACGGGGTATTACTCCACAAAGAAATCTTTGCCCCCCAAACTAATTTCCTGGAGAGTTTCCTCAATACTCATGTATCTTTCAGAATTAATTTAGCCTGGGAAGCATAAATAAATTGATATATTTTCTTCATAAATAGAAACATGCTAGATACTGTTTTCCCTTTTCTTGTTTTACTATTAATTATTATGAATATATCTCCTGTATATAATTTTCTTTAATGTTTGTACAGTCTTCTTTGGTAAAACTATAACATAACTTATTTTCAATCCTATATCCATGGATATTTCTTTAAAGTTTTTTTGTTCTACCAAATAACACTGACATGAACCTCATGTGTATAAGTTCTTGTACACTGGTATGAGTATATAACTAGGAGAAATTCCTAAGAGTTGAATCAGTGGGTCAAAGGGTGTGTATATTTTAAATGTTGATATTGCATAATTGCCTATCAATTGTATGAATTGGCAGTCTCACCAAAACTCTGTAAGGGTGCCTGTCTTCCTATGCTTGTTGACTCAATATTATCAAATTTTTTATCTTTGTCAATATGAGAAGTGAAAAATTGTATTTTATATATTTATAAATTTGTTTGAAGCTACAATAATCACCTTTTTGTTTCTTTTCTGTGAAATATCTTTTCCTATTCTTAGCTCACAGATTATTGGGCAAAAATCACTTGTGGATGTATAAGTGTTTTTTAATATTAAGAAATTAACTATATATGTATCAGAAATACTTTTTCTCAGTTTGTCATTTGATATTTATGATGAATTTTTGCCACACATAAATTTTTGGATTTTATGTAGTTGAATTTATTAGTCTTTTATTTTATGGTTTCTGTGGGTCTTTTTTTTTTTTTTTTGAGTCAGAGTCTCACTCTGTTGCTACGCTGGATTTCAGTGGTGCCATTATGGCTCATTGCAACCTTGATCTCTTGGGCTCAAGCGATCTTCCCATCTCAGCCTCTCTAGTAGCTGGGATCACAGGCACGTGCCACCATACCTTGGCTAATTTTTATTTTGTAGAGATGGGGGTCTCCTGTGTTACCCAGGATGGTTTTTAGCCCCTAGTCTCAAGCTATCCTCCTGCCTCAGCCCTCCAAAGTGCTGCTATTACAGGCATGTACTACTGTGCCCGACCATGGCTTCTGTGTTTTAAGTCACACTAAGAAAGGTTTATCCCTTCCTGAAGTTATAAAAAAGTTCTAATTCTTCAGGTACTCATGGTTTCATTATTTTTGATAAACGAATGAAGTTAGAATCTGTGTTAGTTAAGAATTACATTGAAGTACATCTAACAGAGATTTAACTACAAAGCAGGGTTTCTCGGGCTTCTGGATTCCTGAGAAAGGAAAGTTGGAAGTAGCATTACTTTCACTCTTACAACAAAAGAAATCACACATACAAGAAGAAAAGAAATCACAAGACACTCTGCAAATTCACAACTGTTCTTGAATTTGTCAGCAAGATGAAGTTCTAGGTCAACCCAATTAACCTTAATCTAAGGAAAGACATCTTGACGGAGATGTGGCACATGTGCACTTGCTTATTTGGAGTCGACTCCCCCACTCCCCTCCCATCAAGCTTGTAAGAATCCAGATAAAAGTTTTAATGAATTGCTAAAGGCCAACTGTAGCCCAGCACGAGAATACAGAAATGCTGGGACTTGCAAGTACAGGGAGAATTCACACTCGCAGGGTCCTTTCCACGAATCTTACTGTGTATTCACAAGAAAGACTGGGGTAGTGTGAGAGTCCTGAAAAAATATACCTCGTGGTACAGGCCTGGGGAAAAGAAAGAGCAGCTGCTGAGGGGAAAGGCAGCAAGCCCTTCCCAGATTCTTCCTTATGGAAACAAAAGGGCAGTAAGTCCTGTCGTTAGGCCATAAATCACGTATAGATGAAGACCCATTGCAGCTGGAAAAAGGGTCTGTAGGCCCCAGACCATCAGAAGTATTCCAGCTGGGGGTGGCATAGGATCAGGCAGAAGGCCCTGCCCTGAGACTCAGGGGCACAGTGCCTGTCTAAAACTGAAACTGAATCAGAAAAACAGGATCTCCCCACCCTGACCAACCAGGCTAATAAGCATTAAGTAACTACTGCAGTCTACTGCTGAAATAGCATCAAGAGCATGGAGGATGATACTGAGCAAACCTCTGGCAAACCAGCCTCAACCATAAACACAAAGTAATATTAGAGAAACCTGGAGCCTGTTATGCACTGACAGTAACATAGCAAGAACAAAAACCAAACACAGCTCAGCTCCCTACTAGACTCACATACTAAAGTCCTAGCAGAAGGAAAGGGATGATGATTTTCAAGTATAAAAACGATTTAACTCAGTCTTTACTCCCTTACAATAGATGTCCAGCTTTCTCTCTCTTTCTTTCTTTCTCTCTCTCTCTGTCTCTCTCTCTTTCTTTCTTTCTTTCTCTTTCTTTCTTTTCTTTTCTTTCTTTTTGAGATGGAGTCTCACTTGGTTGCCAGGGCTGAAGTGCAATGGTGTGATCTCAGCTCAATGCAACCTCTGCCTCCTGGGTTCAAGCGATTCTCCTGCCTCAGCCTCCCAAGTAGCTGGGATTACAGGTGCCTGCCACCATGCCCAGCTAATTTTTTTGTATTTTTAGTAGAGATGGGATTTCACCACATTGGCCAGGCTGGTCTCGAACTCCTGACCTCATGATTCACCCGCCTCGGCCTCCCAAAGTGCCAGAATTACAAGCATGAGCCACCACGCCCTGCCCAGATGTCCAGTTTTCAACAAAATATTAGTACAAGGCACATGAAGAAGCAAGAGAAAATCACCACACTATAAAGCGACAAAGCAGGCCAGGCGCTGTGGCTCACGCCTGAAATCCCAGCACCTTGGGAGGCCTTGGCCAGTGGATAATGAGGTCAGGAGTTCAAGACCAGCCTGACCAAGATGGTGAAACCTCGTCTCTACTAAAAATACAAAAATTAGCTGGGCGCAGTGGCAGATGCCTGTAATCCCAGCTACTCAGGAGACTGAGACAGGAGAATCCCTTGAACCCGGGGGCAGAGGTTGCAGTGAGCTGAGATTGTGCCACTGCAGTCCAGCCTGGGTGATGGAGTAAGAGACTCCCTCTCAAAAAAAAAAAAAAAAAAAAAGAGATAAAGCAATTAATATAACCAGACTTAGATATATGATACATATATTGGAATTATCAGAAAGAGAAACTTAAGGAACTATATTTAATATGTTAAAGGATCTGGTGGAAATGGTAGACAGCCTTCCTGATCAGATAGGTAATTTCATCAGAGAGATGGCAACTCTAAGAAAGAATAAAATGGAAATTCTGGAAGTAGGAAACATGGTTACATAGATAAAGGTTGCTTTTGTCAGGCTCAACAGTAGTAGTTTTTTTCCTCCACAGTAGAGGAAAAATTAAGTGAACCTGAAGATAATTCCATAGAAATTATCCAACATGAAACAGAAAGAAAAAAGTGAAAAAAGCAAAACAATACCAGAAC